CAGTCTCATGTGCCAGGAAGGCTTTAAGAGGTATCCTGATAGATGTCTTCATTAAAGAAGGGTGAAATGTAATGCTTTATTCTTTGAGGTTAAAGGGTTCTACTAAATAAATATAAAATGACTTTAATGAAATAATTTTAAAAGGCAAGAAATGAAACAGTGAAAATACTGAAAATATGTAATAGTTTCACAAGTTTCAGATGTTTTTAAGTATCTGAAAACTCCTCAGTTGCCAACAGAAGGAATACTACACAATTTTTGCACAAGGATAAAAAGGGTGACATCCACTGGTGAATTGCCGGGAGAAGTTCTGGGCCACGTCACTGGCCCTTCTCAGACACGGGATACGTAGCATTGCTGCTTCATCAGTTTGTTAAGGTTCTGTCAGTAACAGTCAACACTTTTACATTAATGTTCCTCTCAGCTTCACTCAGACAAACCCACAGCTGTGGCACAGAGAGCCATGGTGCGCACGAGACTGGACAGTACATCAAGTGACGTATGAGGCCAGAGTTTTCTAACCACAACTGTGCTCCTGGAGGCAGTTTTTCCTCATGTTCTTGCTGTTTAGGACATTCTCCAAATGGTCTTGGTAAATGGTCTTATACTTGTATAGCGCCTTTCTATGCTTATACAGCACACTCAAAGCGCTTTCACATTATTCGGCCATTCACCCATTCGCACTCACATCACCGGGAGCAACTGGGGGTTCAGTGTCTTGCTCAAGGACACCTTGACATGGTGACTGGGCAAGCTGGGAATTGAACCGCTAATCCTCCGGTTAGGAAACGACCCGCTCTACCTCCTGAGCCACAGCCGCCCAAAGCAGTCATGTGTTTTAGGGAGCTGAGCAGCTCACAGTGACACCCAGGCTGTCGTGAGTGGTCAGCCCACTGACGGTGCCCTACATTAGTACACGGTAACCATGTGCATGCCTGTCTGTGCAACTGCATGCAGTTCACACTTGTACCATGTTGAGAGTGATATGTAAATGCTACTAGGTCTGGCCCAGGAAAAGTGACCAGGCGCTCCTTCAGACATGAAGCCGATACATTCAGGTGCAGTCAGGTTAACAGGAGTGCACGTACAAAAGGGGCTGTTGTTCCACAACCTAGTTGCTGAACAGCCTAATGTGTTCCATCATCCACAGAGAATTTGATCTGTAGCGTAGGTCTTAACAGACATGGACAAAATCAGCTTAGAAGTGTGGAGTTTTTAGAGTTTTCAGGCCCTATGTATACTTTTATATAACTATTACTTTTATGGCTGAGAAGCAAAACCGAGAGCTTGTTCAGTCCAGGTATGTGTGAAATGGTCATGATTCTCAGCCATCTCTCCTTAAGTGTGGAACTCCATGCCCCGCTCTCTAATCGTCCCTTCCTAGCCTGTAGTGTTAGACGTATGTAATTTTGCCTTGTCACTGTTGATGTGTTTTGATAATGATTTCCTCTCGTGTTTGGTAATGTTTGTTTGTTGATCAGACATCCATCCGGCTTTTCTTATGAAGCTTTCCGCAGTCTGTTTAAACATCTCAGGTAAAAAATTGCATTACCAAACAGAAGTGGCTTAAGCCTTCATTTCAAATCCTTTTAAACCCTAAAGTACATTTTTCCAGCTGTGAGGGCCCAGAGGCCTGGCTAGTCTGATGGGGTTTAAGAAGATCTGAAACAGGTTTGTCTGGTATATGTAAGGGGAGATGGTTTAAAATTTTGCCTCACCAACACTTACGCCTGGTTTAAATAGAAATGAAGAATTCCACATCTGTGCTGCTTGGCAAAAGTGAGAGAATGGGCATGTTAAAGGATTTGATCAAATCTGGGGCCATTTGGTGGAAATGTAGCCCTGAGTGATCCTGGGTCATCATATCAGTCCAGAGTCAGCCCAGTTCATAAGATCCATTACAGGAAGAATGTTGAAAATATAAACTCACTGGATGTTAAGCAGTTTTCTTAGTAACATTTAAGAGAAAGGAGAAAACAGTATCAGGCGCATGATATATCATTTATCATTTATCACTTGTTTTTCCGCTTTGATGTAACCAGAGATAACAACTTACCCACAGGAGACAATATTTTTGCTCAAGTTGGGCAAGATTCAGGTTTAAAATGACTCCACATGCTGAAACCTGTGCGTTAGTCTCTGTGACGGACGTTCACATGTGTACGTGAAGCTATTATTAACTGTCCTAGAATGACTGAATAAAAGTTAATAACTTGGAAAGAAGATGGTGTCACTGAAAAGATTAAAAACCTGCAACTGTAAATCTGCAGCTGCAGAGATTGAAATGTTTTCTTAATTTCCTTTTATTTATTTTGGCCTTATGCAGAAGTTAAAAATACACTCAACTGTAAACTGCACTGAGCTGTAAAATGTCACACCGAGGTACTATTGAAAAGATTTACAAAATCAGGGAGCGTATCCATATGTCTTGATGCTCCTTTTCACGAATAGTATCATTTGTGGAAATTCATCAACTGTGATACATGTTGCAGAACAATACATTTAAAAATATTTAACTTTAATATCTTTGAATTTTGCTAATGCTTCATGGTAGTTGAGAAAATTAAGACTAATTTTTCTGTATTAAACTTGTTGTTTCTCACAAACCTTGCAGCTATGTCAAAGAAAAAGAGGGACTTGTTATAACCAAGGCACCCATAGTGAAAAATGGTTTGAGTGCTGCTGTTTACTGTAGGTGACCAGTAATCCTATTGTTTTGTCTTGAGATGATTAAAAATGTCCATCAATCAATCACCTTTGTTTCTTTTTCTGACTGAGTTGTTGACTTAAATTCAGTATGTGAAAGGAATGTGTTTTACAAAGAAATAACAAACTGACACAATGAATAATCAATGCAAAACATGATTTTACCTGTCATTAACATACAGTATGTGTTGGGAGGTCTCTCAGTTCAGCCCATGGTCCAAAGTAAAATATCTTTACAAGTATCAGATGGATAATGTTTGATCCCATGAGGATAAATCCAAGGATGTAGGTGGTTTCCTAACATTTTCCATTCTGTCACCAGCAAGTCAGCTTTTCCACTTGTTTAGGCCAAATTACTTCTAAAACTACCTTTCAGCCTTACATGATCTACATACCAATCTGAGCTTGCACAGTTTGTACGTTAACAAAATGTTGGGCATTTTAAAATACCAAGCATCAGTCATAATTCAGATGAGAGAGCTGACTGAAATGTTGAAACTCATCTTGGTTACTGTGTGCTCACTTCAGTACTGTTAATAAGCCCTGAGTTTGATCTGTCAGGCTATAGACACACTGCTTGACACAGATTCAGTCTGAGAGGTGAAGCCGTGAACACTATTCACAGCTCAGATTGTACCTCCTCTGCCTGTCTTTTGGCTGAATAAATTTCACCCCAATGCTTCTGAAACCAAAGCTACACACTTGTCTGGACATTTGGATGTAGCGTCTCTTTGTCTGTACATACTGTATGTAGCAGCTCTGGTAGGGTGACCCCAACACTAGCTCAGCTCTATTGATTCCATCAACAAAGGAAGGTAGTGAAGACTAGTGTGGTGGAAGCCAAATGCAAAAGTGAATCACCAAGGAAGCGGGTGGCCTTGGACCAGAATGATTCATCTATCCATCAGCCTGTGGATTCTCCCAAACTCCTGACCCAAACCCCTAACCACACCTGCTTTCCAAACCTCAGGACTTTTGTTTCCAAGTTGTGGCTCACTAGGAACTGGGCAGCATGAACCTAAACGAACCACATTCAAGCATACAACAAAGTTTTCCATTATGGTTTGAACCAAAAAGCAGGCAGGCCTCCCCAAAGTCAAAATATGACAGACGTTATGAAATGCCAGAGAGAGTGTTGGACTGTTGGGCTCCTTCCTTTTGGTGCCTCTCAGGTCACAGGTTCACTCAACCACAAGCCAAACCAAAGGGTCGATGTTCTGAGTTTCATCCACAGGCTATTAACTCCCCTGATCACGCCAACCCACTTTCTTGGAAATACATTTAGCTTTTGATTTGATTTGTGTTGCAGAGTATGTCTTCATTTTTTAAAATTGTGAATATGTTTTGGATTGTATGCCTGACTGCAAACTCCATTTGGGGGCTCATAGTTTTAACTTGAACACAAACCAGATATCTTGAGTGGATCTTCTTAATGGGTCCAATCCTAACTGATCCAAATTCCAGTTCTGTGGCAAACAGCTGACTCGAAGTTGTTCTTAAAATTCTGTGGCTGTCATTTATGTGAGCCTTATTCAGAATGGAACTAAAGTATAAAAATATTTTGTAAAGCAGTCAGGCTCAGTTGTCTTACATCATTATTTTTATGTAGTTCATTTGAAATGACATTCAAATTAATCCAAAGAATATGTCTATGTATTTATTTGTTTGTACACATGTTTATTTGTAATGAAAGTGCATAATGTAGGGTTTACAATGAAAAATAATCATTAGGACAGTTTAGGAACAGTCCTTTTGTTATCAGTGACTTGGGACTGAAATCATTCATCAATTATTTGGTCAATAACATGTATCAGTAACAATTTTGAGGATGCTGTAAACATATGCTTTTATATCACTGTAAACAGAAGATTTTTGAGTTTTGGACAAAACAAGACATTCAAAGAAATCACCACGGGCTTTGGCAATTCTAACAATTTTCTTCTACGTTACAGACAAAACAACTATTTGACTAATCGATAAAATAATCACCAGTTTAATCAATAGTGAAAATAATCATCAGCTGAAACACTGCAATAATCCTCGCAGTGTATTTGAGATTTAAGGTTCGCAAATAACGTTAAATTCAAGTCCAGCTTTAAGGATGATTTGCTTGTGAATGAACAATAATCACATAAAAACACGCCAACGGAGACATGTTTTTAGCATTTTTAAAGTACCATACAATATCATACATTTAAAAAAATCAGATACGCTACCATCAGAGTTTCTAAACGGAAAATATTGTAAAGCCGTCATGAATCCGGAAGAGGTACCTGATTGGCTACTGACGGCATCTGTGTAGGCGGCCGCTCTCATTGGATATACACGCGGAAGTGACGAGAACACTTCTGCTAATAACAACATCAAGAAGCGTGTTGTCTCTTCCATTTATATATTTTGTTTTGTGAGCATTTAAAAACTGACATGGCTCTGCCGCCCCAGCTCAAGGCCATCCAGCACTACCTGCGGACCGCTCAGGAGCATGAGAAACGGGACCCGGTCGTGGCTTACTACTGTAAGTTCGTGTGCTGGCTGATGTTAGCCGTAGCTACTGTTAGCATCTTAGCTTTGTTTACCTGAGAGCTGACACTGCTTAGCTTAGCTTCTAACTTTGAAGTTGGCTCATCTCATCTCATTTTCTGTACTGCTCAGTCCCGAACGGGGCTCGATGCCAATCCCAGCCGGCATCAGGCGAAAGGCCGAGTACAGGCCCATCGCAGGGCCAACACGCAGATGAACAACATTCACTCTCACGGGCAATTTAGAGTCACCAACCAACCTAAGCCGCATGTCTTTGGACAGTGGGAGGAAGCTGGAGTACCCGTAGAGAACCCACGCAACCGTGGGGAGAACATGCAAACTCTGCACAGAAAGATCTCGAACCCGGAACCTTCTCGCTGTGAGGCAGCGGCGCTACGCACCGCGGCACCGTGCTGCCCTGATTTAAGCAGAGCGACTGTTTCAACAGAATTTTTAGAAACTCTGAGCCACCGAGGCGGGTTTTAAATGGACATGCATCCTAATGTTAGCTAACGTTAACAGTTAGTCTTAGCTTTGACAGCATAACCCTCATTAGCCGGCTAACGCTTACATAACCTCACGACAACTGACAAATTCTGTGTGAGGTTCTCAAACACTCGCTGAGCTGCTTTCATATCTTTGATCCTGCTACGTTTAGCAGAAGAGTCGCTACTTTTAACAAGTTGTGAGTAAATGTGCAAAACCTCTCCTGTTAATCGTACGTGACTATGTGCCAATCAGGCCCAGAGTCAGTACACCGTCCCAGGCAGAATGTACCAGTATGTGACTCATGGCTGGTGAATGTACCAGTATGTGACTCGTGGCTGGTGAATGTACCAGTATGTGACTCGTGGCTGGTGTAAACTCCTTGTCAGGTATGTGATAGTCATAAATCCCTCATACTCTATGTAGGCACACCTGGCTCAGCTCTAAAGAATGGGCTCCACCCGCTGCACTGCAAGACCAGTTCATGCTGTATCAGTGGATCAACACTATCACACAGTGACTAATGTGCAGTACACAAAGTTTTCTTGGTGACTTTAGTTGGTTAAATCTGGTACTGTATTGTTGATAAATGATTCTGTTTTGTATTGGTGCACCTTGTCCTTGTGAGATTCCTTGATCCACAGGAAGCACCTTTTTATATAGCTTATATTTTTGGCACATGCTAGGAATGGCATACTATATATCATGTACCACCAGTTAATAATGAGCATGAATCAATAGAGGTTACTGCTTTTGAACAGTTTCTTGAATAACATTTTTATTCACCCATAATGCTTGAGTGAAACATTTACAAATAGAGACGTTTTGAACACGTATACATATCAGTACTATTTTAGGTGTAGCGAGTGGCCAAAAGCACAGGCTGCTTTCTCATGAAGTAGGGCAGACTGTCTGAGAGACGTGTGACTGATTATGTGAAGTGCATGGCTTGAATGCAGCAGGGGTTTGATTCTGACCTAGCTGAGCTGACTGAAAGATTTTCTTACTGGAAAAGTTAGAAAATTGTTATTCAGTCACAGTGTCGGAAATTTAATTTCACATGTATGTGGCTGCATCGTAGCAAGTGATTTCTGGCTGGACTAGAAATCATCTGGTGCATCCAAAAAAATCTCACCTTTTAGTTTTATGTTGCAGTCTTTTAAGTCTACAGGAAATGAATGTAAGTCAATGTAAAGTCCCCACAAGGAATGAAAACACAGCGTGTGTGTGTGCGTGATTTGCTGCCAGGGCTTTGAAGTCCTGTCGCTGTCTTCTTTATTGTTGCAGACTTTTCAGGGATATGATCAATCCGCTGTTCTTTTAGCTCCCTGCAGTGAGGACATCAGTGCTTGTTAAATTAATTTACCAACAAAGTAGTGGGAAGTTTTTAGTTTTTCTAATACCAGAAATAATGAAAACACAGAAAAGGTGCTTGTTATAGAGGAAGTGTGTGTTGATATTTTTGTTGTGGAGTTGATGGTGCCTTCATCCTGCAGGATGGATGTGTCCTGTTATGAGCCCCAGTGTCTGCTGTGTGCTGAGGTGGACTAGTGATGTAACCAGACCACTGGAGGTCAGCAGCAGCATGTGTCTGGGCCTCTGAACCAAGCTGGGCGTGTGTGTGTGTGTGTGTGTTAGGAGTGCTCCACACTGATCTGTTTGTTTCACTGGAGAATGAACATGATGGGAGAAGCTACAGTCTTGCCTTGACTCCTGGTGCTACAGCACTAGACATAAAATATAAATTCAAGAAAGAATCAGCTCAAGAAAACCTGTGGTTCTTGTAACTTCCATGCTGTCTCCCTCTGAACTTCACGTTGCGCTGTGATAATTACAGCTCCTGCCTCAGGGGTATTGATTTTCCCCATCACCTTTCCCAAAACAAATGTAAGACTAATCACTGATTATCTGAACACATGGCTACAAAACTGGCCATCCAGTGAGTTTATGTTGGACAGACTGGAAGTGTGACAGACAGACATAGTGTTTCTCAAGACTTCAATTTTCACTATGAAACTCTAAGAGACTGGAGTTTTATTGTTCAGTCTTAACTGAGCAAACATCCAAAACAAGTTTATTACAAAGTCTCTCAGCATTAGAAACCGTCCATTCAGTCGGAAGCTGAATCGGGTGTGGCTGTCTTGTTGTCTGACCGTTAGCCCTACATCAGCAGGTCTGTCTAAATTAGTTTGCTAATATTTCACCTCACCTCCATCCCAGAACAGGCCGATCAATAGCCATGATTTGTTTAGCTGTAATTCACCAGCAGCTCCCTGGCTGCATTAGAACTTAAGTTTCACACATACTGAATCACTGACATTATAGTGAATGAGCTGTGAAGCAGAGGCTGACACAGGTATCTGACCTCTGGGTCTGGGGAATACACACACACAGGCCTGTTTACTTTAAGTTTGGGCTCAGATAGTGTGCTGTATTCAAAGCTGGACTGTCCCCTGTTTCTGTGTGATGTGTGTGGTGCCTCTTGATCTCGGGTGGCTCCATTTACCTGCACTGGAATCGCTGTGAATGTGCTCTGCAACGTTGAATGTACTAATTGGATAATAGCATTTTACTAGAATCTTCTTTTGGAGTATAAGGCATGTCCTGCTGCACGTACACAGTGAATTTTAAATTTGTACCAGTCATAACAGATTTAATACAGTTAGAACACCGGCTGACAGCAAGTCATCTCTCTGGAGAATTCCACCAAACAACATAACAGGTGCAGTGTTTTACTGAACTCATGTTGCACCAGCTCAGACAGTGACAGAACCAGGTTTTCCTGCAGAGTCTCGGACAGTGGTCTACTGTAGTTCTGTGGTCCCCTCCCCTTTTTATTTTGACTGTATTTCCCTCTGTCACACACTCAAACCAACACAGATGCACACAGCGATGCAGCTATTCTCCATAATCACATCCTTGTAATTGGTGTGACGGAGTGACTGTACTGGCCCAGATTCAGATTGGCACAGATTCTCATGTCTGGCGTCAAAACTGCGTCGAGACTGTGGCACTCTGCCGACACTTTTTATAGTGGTGGTAATTCTTTCCCGCTGAGCGTGTTTTCTGACAGCTGTTACTCTGACATGGAATCTAAACAAAACTTCTCTCCTAAAGAAGTCTTTAATCTTTCCTGAGCTGTCAGGGTTTGGGGGTTCAACTCCCTGATCTTGATGCAAGAATCTGTTTAAAATGTTTTAAAGACGCCACACAGGGCACTATAACTAAATAACTCATGATGTGACCGCTCACCCAGTGTAAGAACTAAAGCATTGCTACAGCCAGTCAGTGCTGAGGCTGTGGAGCTTACAACCCCGTCCTGAAAAACCTCTGTGTGTATTAGTGTTTGTGTTTCCACCAGTGGTAGAAAGGAGCTAAGTGCACTTACCCAATACTATACTTAAGTACAGTACTTTTACTTGTAACTGTATTTATACACTGGTATTGAGTACTTCCCCTACCACTGGTTTCCACATGAAAACTCATGAAGCATGAGCAGCTTATGAGGTAACAGCACATTAGAGGCTTGGACTGAGATGTGCTTCTCTGTGAGTGGAAGTTGGAGACATGTGCAAAGCCCAAATGGAGATTGAAGTCATGCCACGGGCGGTGGTTTTTCTCCTGCTTTGTCTTGTGCAGTTTTTGGCTTGTGGTTGATACTGGCTGTTTTTGTGAAAGGAGGGCTGGTTTATGGGATGTGACCTCTTACTTTTGAGGAAAACCCCTCAGTGTAGAAAGACCAGCGTGTTATATGCTTCCTTAGGAGCATCAGAGGACAAAACTGCTTTACTTTTTGCTTGTGTGGTGGCAGCAGTGCTCTTCTACCTGAAGCTCAGCGTTTTAAAGTGCAACGTGATATAAAATAGGAAGTAGCATCTTGGGCTTTGGGAATTTGTGATGGACACTGTTCACTGTTTTCTGCCCTTTTAATTTATTAATGGAAAAAATAATTGTTAGTTGTAGCCTTCCATGATGGACTTGTGCGGACCGCAGAGGACTGTAAAGTGTAGTGACAGCTGGTGGCAGTAGTGAGCCATAAAAAGTAGCAGTGACCCAAAAAAGACGAGATGAACACACCAGGTTTGGAAACAGCCAAAACCAGAATTAGCTTTTTTAATGTTTTATGAACATGATGTACTTCAAACACATTTTAGCCTGGAGAACCTGCTGTAAACACAGTCACCCTCATGACCACCAGAGGGCTGAAGCACTGGGGAATGACACTGGTACGTGTGAGCGGGCGGCCCAGTCTTGGCTCAGTGTCTGTGGCCTCACATCCTCTGTGCTGTCAAAGCCTTCTGTGTTGTCCTTCATTGTCTGTGAGCCAGCCAAAGTGAGTGTTGCACTGTATGGATGTAACGGCACAAAGGATGGCTCTGTCACTGGATGACTGGCTGACATGTTTACTGGCTGCTTCAGCAGTTTGAGGATTTGCTGGCTGTTGCTCTCTGTACTGACTGGGTAACTGCCTCAGTCACTTCTACATAACTACATGCATGCATTTTTGCCATGCTGGTGGTTTTTTGGAAATACTGAGTGGTGCAGGCCTTGGCTGCTTGGTGCTGACTCCCCACTGTTCTGCCTTGTAAATGGGGCATTGTTCTGTTGGCACAGTGACCCTGTGCTGTGACTCACACACTAAACATGAGGTGGAAACAGAGAGCTCACCATGCACGCTGAAGAGTGCAGCAAAATCTATAAACAGACTCCACCACATCACTAACCCTAACCCTGTTGAAGTAGCTGAGAATAATGGTTCTGTTTTTCTCTTCTTGATGCAACACATGGTTGAAGCGTACTGGGTCAGTACAACATCACTTAGACTTGTAGCCTTGGACAAGTCAATAGAAATGGACATTTTTTCATTTTCAAACAGTTGTGTGCTCATGTTGGTACGTTCCACCAGCAGGGACGGACTGAATGAAGGATCCAGATGCTGCTCAGGTGACTTACATGGCTTCACATCTCGTAGCCAGAGATAGTGGGTACATCCTATTTCCTTTAATTGCATCCACGTTTCCCTCACTTGTCTTTTTGAGGTGAGAAAACCTGAGAGAACATGTTTTGAGAGACATCGGATGTCTTTTCCACGTCCGATCACGTACCGATTTCTGAGAAAGGGGCATGTCTCTTGTATCCTCTAGCCTCCTTGCTCCTCAAAGCAGGAATATGAGCTTTGGCACATCCTTCAGGATGGCAGACAGGAACAACTAACTACTCAAGCAACTATCAAATAAGGGAATTGGAAGTTCCACATCTCTTCAGTTTGTAGAGTCTTGGTTCAGGCTGTGCTTCTTGTAGATATGATCTCTACACTGTGTACACAATTATTAGGCAAGTTGTATTTTTGAGGATTAATTTTGTTATTGCACAACTACAGTGCTCTTGGTCAATCCAAAATGTTAACAAACCCTCAAACCTGAACATTTAAGTAGTAAAAGGGAAGTTTTGGCTTTCTTAAGAGAATATCTACATGTACACCATTATTAGGCAACTATTAGTGTGCAGAATTATCATGCAACTAAATAAAAAAAACAAAGATTTTCACCTGTTAAAGTAAGAATAATAAACAAACTCATAATTTACAAATAAACAGTTCTGAAATTCCAAACAGAAAACCTCAGTGACCAATCTAGCCACCCTTCTTTTCGATAACAGTCACCATCCTTCCATTCACAGAGTCAGTCAGTTTTTTGATCTGGTCAGAATCAACTTTTTGTGCAACCACAGCCTCCCAGAGACTGTTCAGAGAGGTGTACTGTTTACCTTCACTGTAAATTTCCTGCTTAAGAAGGGCCTGAAGGTTCTCAGTAGGGTTTAAGTCAGGTGAAGAAGGGGGCCATGTCATTAGTTTTTCATCTTTAAGGCCTTTACTGGCCAGCCACGCAGTGGAGTACTTTGATGCATGTGATGGAGCGTTGTCTTGCATAAAAATCAAAGTCTTCTTGAAAGATGCAGACTTTTTCCTGTACCACTGCTTGAAGAAAGTGTCTTCTAAAAATTGGCAGTAGGTCTGAGAGTTGATTTTGAGTCCATTTTCAACCCGAAAAGGTCCAACTAGCTCATCTTTAATAATA